TAATCCATCTGGGGTGGAGGAAGAGAGTACTGACACAGGAAAATTTTCAGGCTATGTTGGATTATTTAAATGATCAAGGACTTCAACAGATACTGAAGAAATGCAGATGCCTACACAACACATGTGAATTGACCTTGCAAGGACAAGTGACATTTTATGTCCAAAAAAAAGGAAGTTAATGGATTATTGTGCATAGAAAAAATTGCATATGGTTCTAAATGATAATGTATCAATACAAGAAAAGGACTTAACTGACAGACAGACAGTTCAGTGATAACGTGCTGACAATGTAGATCTGCTGTCGAAACAGCAAGCAGGCTAGGACACACAAAGAATGCGGTGAAGGATAGCGCTGACAATATTTCAATGCTCATATAAATCAACTGCATATTGGTTTCCTTTTTAGTACACGCTTGTCCTACCACAAGATGGTGCAATCTCTCTACAAACCCGTTACCCCACGCAGGTCTCTTACTGCACTTCTAATACAACATCCTTCCCTTGCTTTGACCCACCAGGCAGGACAGTTCTTCTTGCAACAACACCTTCAGCGCTACAGCAAGCAATGCTCAGAAGATAAACCATTAATCCCTCACAGATTAGGAAAAGAAACCTTTTTGAGCCGTCCAAATGTTATTCATGTTTTTGACGGAAGGCGCTGGGCTCCACCAGCTGCAGCCATGAGACAACTGCACGGGATGCCAAACAGGAAACCGAGTCGAGTAGCTCTGTCAAACCCACGTCAGGGTGACTCACCACTTCACAAGTCTCAGGTGATCGCACGCCCTTCCTTATTCTCCTCTTCGGTCGAGAGTGGACCCATCAGTAGAAGTTGATCATGTACCTACATGGTCTCCTTTCATTTCTGACCTCTAATTGCTTCCTGGTGCCGATGCACAGCCTGCAGACATTTTGGGGAGAAACTTCTGACACCTGCTATCGGTACCGGGGACGGAGTGATACCAAACTCAACTAGCAAAATCTACAATTGGGCTTTTTTGGGACCTTCTTTGGTTTGTGGCTGAAAAGGCTTCAAATGGTGAGTGACCTTTCAAGGTGTTAAATGTGATGTTTGCTTTTCGGTGAATTGCATATTATTTATAAAGAAATTCTGCACTTTCCTGGAAGATAACATTTACAGGAAGTACAGCTACCAATTGTTATTGATGGCCAGACCATCAGGTTCTGTAGATAAAGCCAAATAAGCGTCCTTATATCATCTGAGGTTTGCACCCAAAATAACCCTGTCGTGGCTATTTTTATATTTTTATCTGTTTTATTCAGCTTACCAGTGTTAATTGTTTTCTTCCATACTCCAGCTCTCCCTACTGATTTCTGTGCTCCCCCAGGTAATTTTCAGTGTTAACACTGTCAGTTCTTGAAGGTGGGGGCTATGTCTTCTACCACATAATAACTATGCACAAGTGCTATAAACAAATAAACAACAATTCTAGTGTATACTAGCCTCACTAAAATTACAACACAGCTGACAACGTAGCTGGATTCCTTTATCTCGTGCCTTCTCTTCTGCAACACTCCAAAATAATGTTTTGCAAGACTTTTGCAGCTGAATGACTGAGCTTTTTTGGTGTAAAAGACCTAAAGTTGTCTGACGTGCAGCATACTCAACCGAACACTTGATAAAATGTAGTACTTCTCAAGTTAGTTAGTTGAGAAGTTAGTACTTCTCAAATACTAACTTAACTTCTGCAGTAAATACAATCTGCTAATACCTCTGTAAAATACTTTCTAAAGGAGACTAGCTTTTTTAATAATGTTCAAAACTACTCAGCACACATGATGTCCCATAAGTTGCTCAACGTTATTTCTGCTACATTCATCCTTCATCTTTTTCTTTCATTTTGTTGTCTAAAACGTGGATATTTCCCATATTATTTTTACTCATCTGACTAGTTTCATGTTATACAACAGAAATGTTTGCAACTTAAAGATAAGCAAATGCATTCATCTTTCTAGTATAATGACTTCACTTTGGGAACTGCAGAAATCTCTCAATATTGTCCTGAAAATACATCACCTTCAAAAAGTAATAGGCAGTAGAACAGTAAAAATCGCATAACTATTAAGAAAGATATTTATTTTCATTCAGCTGAATACAAGACTACTGAAAAACAAACTTCAGGAATAGTAAGCAAAGAGTAAATATTTCAGTACCTTCCTCCTTCTTATTTACTGGCAGGATTCCTATGGTGCAGAGGCATACTAAGATCAGGAGGCTTTGGGGGAGCACAATCAAAACATTACAAATAAGCCATACTTTTTGCTGTATGAGAGGTGGAGGATTACTAGCTTTAAAAAAAAAACACGTAAAAAGAAACACATTAATTCAGCTCCTTTTCTAGTAAATTGATTGGCCCGGTTCAGTGGGACCTTAACACTTGTCTGATATACGTAGACTTTACAAGAGTTTCCAAAGCACCCCAAAACATCAGAAGTCCATGCCTTGTTTTGGGGGTACAAATGCCTCAAGGTCTGACTAAAGAATTTGAACTCACCAGCAGTTCTTCCACTGAGCGGGGAGGGAGATAGAGATGAAGTGACAAAATAAGTCGAGAGCAGGGTAAATTAGTCCAACCCGGTCTGTGCAATCACAGCCAGACTGCTCCCAGTGTGGGAGCTCGTTAGCGGCAGTCGAACTCAGGTCTCTCTGCAGTTTGCTGTTGTGACCACAGGGCAGATGTTTCCTACCTGTATACTCTGCCTCCGAATTTCTGACATGCAGTGATTTGCACAACTGGAACGCAGTTCTCCAGAGAAGCTGGAGGTAGTGTGATAGTGGGTGATAAAAGGTAATCAAAGATTATTTGTGGCAGCAGCAAGTGGGAGGTGGCATCACAGAATCCAACTGTAACTTTCTGAGTCAGTCCCATGAGATCCCTAGAGATGCAGGGACCAGATTTTTCGCAGATAAAACAATTTATTTTGTAAAGTGCCCTGCTTTTTACTTAGAATGACTCTCCCTAAGTCATGGCAATGTTTTAAAGTAATTTTCCAGGGATTCAGTGTGGAGGGTATTTTTGTCTTTTGCCTTTTTCCTTTCAGAAATTCCTATCTACTTTTCCAATCTTCATTTTGTACAATGTGGGAAGTGGTAGGAGCCTGCCAAATCACACCCCCCTTGGTAACAGCAGCTTACTCTGCGGTCTGGAGGTGTCTTAGCCAAACTGATCAGGGAAAGCAAAGGTCGAGTGTCTCAGTTACAAGCACCTGGGGTTAATAACTATAGCTCTTTTGGCACATCAGATGATTCACAACTGAATGAGTGACAGGTTCTCAGGCGTTTTTTGTCAGCTTGGGAAATGGCCCGCAACTGTCAAAAGTATCTTCTGTATTAGTGGGCAAGGAAGCATGAAAAGAATACCTGTGAATGCTCAGCGGTTACATGCCACAGTAAGTTATTTTTGAGCTCGGTGATAGGCAGGACTTCAGAGTGAATGAATGCCGAATAACCTGTTCTTAGATTAATAGCTGTGCAAACATTCATATTCTGCTGTCTCCTTCTGTGCAAAACCTGCTCTCTCTGACATGGGTACCGAACCTCTCTGCTGCCCTTATTCCACTCCCCACTCTCCTTCTCTGCCCCTCTGGACTCAGGTCTCACAAAACCCCTTGAAGTCTCTTGAAGAGCTTGTGCTCTCTGGACCCATCACCTCTTCCCTCTCCCATTTCATCTCTCCCTCTTCCATTCTCTTGGAATCTGAAGCCACCGTGCTTTTAGCCTTGTTTGCACTGATCTTTCTGATTCTTCTTCATCCTTTTTCCTTTCTTGTTCTTCTCAGGTATCATCTCAGGCATGCTGGCCTGTCCAGACCTCCCAGTCCGTTACTTAAATCAGCATCTGCAGCAGACAAAGGCTAAAATCAACTGCAAGTCAATTTATATTTATGAAAGTATAAAGTTTATATGGCTCTTTATTACCTGTAAATAAAAACTCCTGGAGATAATTTTGAGCAGTTAACTACTGCTCAAAATCCTTGACAATCAAAAGAAATTGGAGACTGCAGTGAAAGCATAAAGTGTAAAACCCTCCATTGTCATGGTTTTCTATTTGAAGTTTTCTCCTCAGGTACAGACAAATGCCTGTTTTGGACAAACTGTCACCGAATTCCTTGTCAACCTCGCACAGAGCCAGCACATTGACTTGAAGAGACTGATGTTCCTCTGGCTATTTGAAGATGACACACAGCTGAGATCTCTTGTAAGTAAACTAGTTATCATAGAATCATGGAATGGTTTAAGTTGGAAGGGACCTTAAAGATCACCCAGTCCCACCCCCCTGCCCTGGGCAGGGACAACTCCCACCAGACCAGGTTGCTCCAAGCCCCATCCAGCCTGGCCTTGAACCCCTCCAGGGATGGGGCAGCCACAGCTTCTCTGGGCAACCTGTTCCAGTGCCTCACCACCCTCACAGCAAAGAATTTCTTCCTAATATCTAATCTAAGTCTACCCTTATTCAGTTTAAAACCATTACTCCTCATCCTATCACTACCCTCCCTGACAAAGAGTCCCTCCCCATCTCTCCTGTACCCCCTTTAGGTATTTGCAGGCTGCTCTAAGGTCTCCCTGGAGCCTTCTCTTCTCCAGGCTGAACAACCCCAGCTCTCTCAGCCTGTCCTCACAGGAAGAAGTGCTATTGTGCCTGACACACCAGATGAAATGTCTGTACTGTGTGCCAACCCTCCCGATACATGGGGCACTCTCTTACAAGCGATGCCACAACTTCTGCTGCACCTCCCTCCCCGCAGCTGGCAAGCCGGAATCGTTCAGGCTTTTACGCTTTCCTGACCGAGGGAAATCACTGGCTAGTTTTTCCAAAGAGATCAAATTTTAAGCGGTCAATACTCAGACACAAAGGCAACAAGAGCCTTCTGCCGCCGCGTTAGTTAGCGAGTCCCAAGTGCTGGAACTTGCTGACGCTGGAGAATCGCAGCGAGAGCTGACGAGAGCTAAGTTCTTCTTTCTTGACCATTTCCCGTTTCCTTTTTCTGTCGCCGAACGGCGCCCGTTGGACCGAGGGAGACAGGCGCCTCCCCGTACCCTCCCCCGCCGCCTCCACAGCTGGCTCCTCTCACCCATGGAAGGCCCAGGGGGCGGCGGGGACTGCAGCGGTGGCTCTCCGGAGCGGAGGACGGGGACCGGCAAAGGTAACGGGGCAAAGAGAGAGAGAGGAGCCGAGGGGTGTGGGGCTGGGCATCGGGCAGCTGGAAACCCCCCCTGAGCAGTGGACGCCCGGCTGGGAGAGGCTGATCCGGTGGAGGGTCCCGACGTTGAGGGTCGCCAGCCAGCAAGGGCAGCCCTGAGCTGGGCAGCTGGAAACCCCCCCTGAGCAGTGCACGCCCGGCTGGGAGAGGCCGATCCGGTGGAGGGTCCCGATGTTGAGGGTCGCCAGCCAGCAAGGGCAGCCCTGAGCTGGTGGGGAGGTGGATGGCACCCGGCTCCAGACCCCCAGGACCCACCTGAGAATGGCCCCAAGGTGCTGCCAGGGAATGGTGTGGGGTGCAGCATGCGTGGGGCCCTGTGGCAGCATCCCCTGGGGCTCACCTTGTGTGTGGAGGCTGGAAAACCCCATCTGTCTGCTTCGTAGAGGTGGGAGGCTGCCCGGGCAGAGCCCTGTGGTGTCAGCAGAGTGACCACCGCTGAGAGGTGGTCCCCCTCCCTTTGCAGCCTTCCCTTCAGGGGTACCGAGTCTACCCTGCTACTGCCTTTAAAGTTGGATGTGAGAGCGGTGGTGGGAAGTTGGTAAATCCTTCCATGTCGCAACCCAGCTCAGTGCTTGGCTCCCAGAAGGAGGAGGGAGGTCATCATGCCTCTGTACTGGGCACTGGTGAGGCCTCACCTCGAGGGCTGTGTTCAGTTCTGGGCCCCTCACTACAAGAAGGACACTGAAGCGCTGGAGCATGTCCAGAGGAGAGACACCAAGCTGGTGAGGGGTCTGGAGAACAAGTCATAGGAGGAGAGGCTGAGGGAACTGGGCATGTTTAGTTTGGAGAAGAGGAGGCTGAGGGGAGACCTCACTGCCCTCTACAACTCCCTGAAAGGAGGGTGTAGAGAGGTGGGGGTTGGCCTCTTCTCCCAAGGGAATAACAACAGGACCAGAGGAAATGGTCTGAAGTTGGGGCAGGGGAGGTTTAGTTTAGGTATCAGGAAGAATGACTTTCCTGAGAGGGTGGTCAGGCCCTGGAACAGCCTGCCCAGGGAGGTGGTGGAGTCCCCATCCCTGGAGGTATTTCAGAAACCTGTAGACGTGGCTCTTCAGGGCACGCTCTAGTGCCCAAGATTATTGATTTGTGGGTGGGTGTGCTGTGGTGGGGTGTTGTGTTTTGTGGGGTTTTGTTTTGGTTTGTTTTTTTGGGTTTTTTTTGTTTTTTATTTTAACATTGGACTCAATGATCTCAGAGGTCCCTTCCAACCATGGTGTTTCTGTGATTTCCTGGAAGGGAGATGGGAAGAAACAGAGACTCTGAAAAGCTGTCGCTGTGGGATAAGGCTGGATGTTTCTCAGGAGAAGTTTTGGGCTCCAGAGCCCATGTCTTATTTCTCCTATCCATGCCATGTTTAGGTATCAGGTCAACCTCAGACTTACTGACTTCACCCTCATTTGTTCCATTCTCATTTCTTTCTTTTTCGATCACTTTGGAGTGTTGGGAACTACCTTACTATTCGGTTAAGTTCTGGATGATGTAATTAAAATTCAGAGTAATTCACAGTTCTTGTGATGACAAGCTAAATGTCACGCTTTTCCTAGTCGCCAGCTCTGCTCCCAGCCTGCTTTCCATGGAGAGCAACTCTTTCTGGAACAGCTTCATGGGTCCTGCACTCTACTCTTGTCAGCTGGTTGTGGTTTTTTTGTTGTTTTTTTTAAAGTGTTTTCCTGACATTTCTTTTTTTCAGATCTTTTCTCTGTTTCCCTGACATTTCTTTTTTTCAGATCTTTTCTCAAATATCTGGTTATGGAGAGGTGTTGCTGGAGCCCTTGCTACTGCTGTCACTTTGATTTTGTGTTTTCAGTTTGGTAAGTGTGTAAATCATTTAAAAATAAAGTGTAATTAGCCTTGGAAATTGCCAGAGTTTTAGATTGCCAGAAGTCCCTCAAAATCTCAAGAAGTTTATTCAGAACTTACCTTACCTCAAAATTAAACAAATGTCTCATGGTATATTGCTTACAATTGTGCTCAAGTGCTGCAGAATTACTCTGTTAGTTGCAGTGGTGTTAGGGAGTGCTCAGATTCATTTTAGTGTACTTCTGGCATTCGGGTTTATAACCTCACTGTTGGTCTTAACCCAAGTTCAGTAAAACGAATAACAAATGAAAGACTGTTCTTTGCAACCATTCTGTAGTCCTTCAAAAAATGACAGTACAATAAACAAAGCTATTAATTCAGCTGGGAGGAAGCAACACTTGCAAAAACTGTATTTAATTTGTTCTTGGAGTTCTTGGAGGATACATTATTATCGCCTTCTCAGCTGCTTCTACCAACTTGCCCCTGATCATCACTTTAAAGGTATGTCAGCAACAACAAGAGTGCAGGAACCAGAACATATATTTAGTTTACAATAGTTATTTCTGCTGGGCAAAAGTAATAAGGCTGTGATTAGACTCTAGATGATTTCAGATGATGCAGTCAGAAAGCAAGCTAAAAAGCTCCAGAAACCTTTTTCCAGTCAGAAGAAATGGGTGGATTGTTTTCTGTCTTTTTGCAGCAAACCATTCTTCGACCAAAGATCTTCCTGTTTGTCCTTCCCTGGATCTCTGTCCATCAGGTTGGCTGTATTTCCAGAGGAAATGTTACTACCTCTCGGACAGTGAAGCCAACTGGAACTCCAGCCAGAGCCTCTGCTCTTTGCACAATGCTTCTCTCCTGGTGATTGAAAATCCTCAAGAACTGGTAAGGGAACAAAAAGGGGGTCCTGGTTTCACCCCATCTCACTTTTGGGGAGCTGCACAATGAACCAGCGTGTTCTTCCACCCTCTCAACCTGAACGGTTTGAAAACTGGTGCAAAGACTGTGACGAGTCCCAGCTTGCAGAAAGCTGTGTGCCTCCTCTCCCTGCAAACAGCCAACAGCAGTTTTAGCAGTTGATGTTTTAGAAAATGCCCGAGGCTTGTCTGAGTTTAATTTGGAGCTGCTCACAGCTATAAATACTCACGTTGAAAGCAACTATGGGGTAAATGCTATTGCATCTCTTTCATCTTTAATTAGTCAACTGTTTTGTCTTAACAAGATAGGTTAATGACAGTTTGGTAGATATGTTAGTCTTGACCTTTGGAGTTAGAAGATGGTTACCCTAACCATAGCTTGGAGCACCTTTTTCTGTATTATACTACAATATTAGGAAAGAGTCCATCTAGCACAAAGACCTAGAAGAACATATTCTTCTACATGTGTTACAGGCCTTGATAGCAGACCTGGATAATTTAAAACAGCCTCTCTCTACATCACCTCTAATCTCTAAAATGTCTTGCTGCCTTTGCTACATTACTAGCTACCTTGCTAGCTGGTAATAAGAACTCAATATGGTGAAGACATACCAGCAATGGAGAAATGCGTTAGCTGCAAAGGTGTTCATCATTTTTTGCAGACTTTTTTGTGGAGAGACACTAAAATGATGCATAGCAGTTCTTAATATTCAGTAGTATACTTGCATTCTCATATTTGGCATTTCTGTCAGTACAGTATTGGAGCGGTAGAGAGATCCTGTCTGAAAGTTAATCCATTTGATTTCTGACTGGGTTGTAAGTTCTCTTTCAGTTACGTGGATTGCACAAGATCCAGACATTGCAGTACTCTGTAGATTTAATTTTTAGTATTGTTTTCTTGGGGAGAAAGGCAATATCGTTGTTTTGCTTTCTAGCCCTGGATCAAAGACTATTTTGATAACTGGATTGAGCATGCAAAACTTCTTTTCTCATATGGGCTTATTCCTACAGAGTTTTATGGTGAAGATAACAAAGGAAGACCCGTGGATTGGACTCTATAAAAGAAATGAAGAGTTCTTTTGGGTAAATGGGAAAGCATTAGACAATAAAATGTAAGTCGATGTTGAGGGGGTTTGCTGGTGATACTAGAATATAGGGAAGTAGGGAAAGGATTACAAATACAGATATAGACATTGACTTGAAATAAATACCTGTAATGATGTTGAAGGGATGACTGTGGAGAGAGCATGGAATACAATAAGGATTTCACATACCATTGTTAAAACTGTGGCAGATGAAAGAGCCAGTAGAGCAAAGTGAGAATTAAACCAAGATACCCAAGCAATGAGGGGAGGAACGGAAGATTACAGCAACACAAATTCCTCATTATACAATATATTTTGCAAAGGTGCAAACCTGCATGCAAGTGGCATAAAGTTTATAGCAGAGATATTCAGGAGGCTTTGAAGAGATGTTTTCGTACTTATAGAATGTGCTTACAAAAAAGGCTTCTGGGGGGAAAGGTGAAGGTCTGAATTTATGCTACATGAGTTCTCTGTGGCCCTGTGTTCTCTCCCACCAGTGTCAGGTGTGAGGCTCTTTGTTCCTCCCCCTGATAGTTGTGCCATCTTCTCAGAGATTGCTGCTTCTCATCCAGGGGCAGCTGCCAGCAGGAGGTGGTAGAATTGCCAGTGACAATAATAAGCACTGAGATTTCACAAGTCTGAAATGAACTTGAAAAGTGGAAAATGTAAATACTCTTAAGTTTGTGACATTACTAGTGGTGTCTAACTCTGTTCAGTTCATCCCCAAGACGTGAGGACTTGATCTGATGAAGACCTTATGAGTTTAATGTGAGATGTGAGCAGCACCATAGGCACCTCAAGCTGAAAATTGCAGTCCTTCCCACTACTGCTTATCCCTTGCCTGCGATACAAACGTCGACTGAGGCTTTCATTTTCAGTGATGAAGTTCTTCACGTTCTTAGATTTCTGCCTCTGGGTTTGCCTCAAACTACCCCTCCCATCTTTAGAAGGGCAAACATCTTGATGTCTGCCCTCAGCTGCTATCAGAGTAATGTTAACGTTGGTGGGGATTTGTCCTTTGGCTTTTCCAGAGGCCATATGAGTTTGGGTGGCCTACTCACAGGACACTGTAACACTTCATTTGAAAGCAGAGTCGGTCAAGGAGACCCTTACTTCTTATGTAGGGACACCTATGGTGTGGAAACGGGTTCGCTTCCCATTTTCCACCGCCCCCTTAACCATGGTGCCGTGTTCAGTTCTGAGGAAGAGGGAAATGAGAGAGGCATTTGTTTCACAGCTTCTGCTGGAATATTTTAGCTGTATAGAAGGATGCAGAAGTCAAAGGTGGAGCCAGTCTTGATAGCGCAGTGTCCTTGAAAAGGGCAAGCTTGAATTCCAATCTCCTCTCTAAGGGCATGTTTCACATTAAGGGACCACTAGACAAGCTGCAGGAGTACTGCAAGTCCTAGATTTTGTGTTGTGGGGCTAGGTCCCATTAAAAAAAAGACAATCTTTGTGGTGTTCTCTTCAAAACACAAGTTGTCATCCTCCTGCGATGCCTTGCCTGTGGTAAATCGGGCTTCGTACAAAGGAACCTGTGATCCCCATGGTCCCCTTTGCTCTGTTTTATTATTTGATTGTGGGTCTCAAAGTAATTGTTCAAGCTGTCATCCTCCTGCAATGCCTTGCCTGTGGTAAATCAGGCTTCATACAAAGAGAACCTGTGATCCCCATGGTCCCCTTTTCTCTGTTTCATTATTTGATTGTGGGTCTCAAAGTAATTGTGTCTTTCATTCTCCCTTACAGGATTGAAGTGAAAGGCTCTGGAAACTGTGCCTATCTTGAGTCAAAAGGAGTCTCAGCCTCTGGATGTTATTTAACCAGGAAGTGGGTCTGTAGCTTGAGTTTAGCTACAAACTAATACAGGTTTCTACACCTATATAGGTTTATACACCTATAAAGGTGGATGGAGCCGCCACCCCTGACACTTAACTGCTGTGATATGATGCCCACACAGGCTATGTCTGTGCTCTGGGTCCTGGGAACACATCTCAGCTCCTGCCTGGAGGTGAATGACTTTTCTGGTAGCCAGAATTCTCCACCCATGTAGGAAGCTTCTGTTTTTTAAGGGTACCATTTAAAAGGCTTGCTTCATCATCTTGATAAGTCTTTTCCCTTGCCCCATTTTCCTCGCTATTGCTCAGCCTGTGGTTTCTTTCTGTTGTGTTCATCAGTATTACTTCCACTAACTCTTCTCTTACAGGATCCTAAGCAGCTGCTCTTTCTTTTCCTTTTTGGTGTGCAGCTGGAGGTATTTACTATGTTTTTTTCTCGGCCAGGCTCTGCGTGCGAGGGTGATTTGCGAAGGGGGTCTGCTTGAGGGTCTCCCAGGGCCTCTCAGATACAGGGTGATGCAGAAATGAGAGCTGTTGTTGTAGACAGGGTCATTGCAGATTTTGCTCTCCCTGTTTGACGGGGTGCATCTTGTGTGACTCTGTATTGTGTTCAATGTTTTGCTAGTGTTATTTTACATTAATCTTTTTAAATTAGCTTGACAGTATTATAATTGGTATTTGTGTAGCTGCACTGCAGCTGAGGTGGTTCTTCCCACAGCATTTATATTAGCAAAAAAAAAAAAAAGTCTGTAGACAGAATAGAATATTTATTTACCTGAGCATCTGCACTGATGGGGGAAAAAGAGTTTGAACTGAAAAAGTAATAGTGAAGCTTCAGGCATTAATGTTGTAAAGTTAGAAATAGTCCTCTGTGTGAATGGGCAAAATCACGAGTAGGGAATAAGAGAATTAACAGCACAGGATGTTTCTCTGTGGTTTCCTTATGTTCTGTGCCTGTTGGAGCACGAGGCTTCTGAGCAAGCAGTATTACGTTTCTGGATGGACAATGAGTGTTTTCTTCTGCGCGCCTATAATTTTCAGCAGCAACACCCAGCACTGTTGTGTCACCGTGAGCCTGAGCAGAGTCAGGGCACAGCCCTGGTGGGCTCTGTTCACTCATGTTTAGCAGGTAACCTGAAGATTGAAAGTGCCATTTGACCCCGAGGAAGCAAACCAGCTTATTTTCCCCATAGGACTATTCCTGCCGGGTTTCTAGAGGAGGAAGAATGGGAAATCCACATGCATAGCAGGGCAAAATACTTCCCTCCCTGGAATAAAATCTGGAAAATTGGTGTTCTTGTCATCTGGGTGTTATGGAGAGGACTATGAACTCCACAGGTCTTCTTGAAGGAGTAAGTGGAGCCGGTATTGGAGTAACCACTAGAGCGCACTGTAGTTTCAGGGAAGGGAAGATAAATAATTGTGTCTTCTCCTTTTTTTAAGAATGTAAAATTGCACCATGTTTGACAGGTTATTTGGAGTGTTGTTGGTTCGTTGGGTTTTTTTGTCCTATCTGGTAATTATTTTTGCCCTCACTGTGTTTTTATGCAAATTCAGTTGTTGTCTAGTTTTGTTCATGTCTTGTTGATGCCTTCATTATTTCCTGTGTCAATTGGATTTTACTGTAACAGGACCATGCAATATGGAGATTGTTAACAACTTGTGACTTTAAGATGTTTATTTATATATGGTCACTAATTTTGCAGAACTACACTTTTTGTAATTGCTTGTATTCTTTATAGGCACAGTAACAGAACTCTACGGTATGAATAGCTTAATAATCTATGTGTTAATTTATATGTAACTATTGGGGGGGTAGAGGAAGGTAGTCTGCAACGTTTTTAAATTAACTCACTCTGAAGGATGTGGTACGTGCAATAGTCCTGAAAGATATGCAATAAATATCTTTACAGAGCCTCTGAATTACAGTGGTTTGTGTCTTAATATTGTGCCATTAAAAGTATTTTTTGGCTCAGGCACCATTTGGGGGAAAAAAATAAATCACCAGACTGAAGCAAAATAAAATTTTCAGGTTTTGAATAGGAAAAGATCTTTAATCAAAATATTGAGGTTGACCCAAAAAAAGAGTGCAATTCACTTCCCAACATTTCTAACATATTTTTACACTTCAAAATGTGTCAGACTTTTAACAAAAAGCATTTAACTGAAATGTTGAAGTACTTCTGTGGAAATGCTGAAATGGGCATAGCAGAGCACATACAGCGCAGTAAATTTGGAGGGAAACACAGAATTTTCTGCAGTTCACTCTTGCAAAGTTTTCCAAGTCTTTGCATTAGGAGCATACTAGAGGTACATCTTGGCCTTTCCTAATGAGCTGATTTACCTGAATATTTCCTTTAACTACAAAATAATGTCACTCTTACGTTTGTTTTTTTTTTTTTGCCATCAGTGTCATCTATGGATAGAGTCAGAAAATAAATGGGAAATTTTGGTTCTTAGAAGAGGTTTTGGAGAAACTGTGAGCACGGTAGGTTATAATGAAAGCTTTTAGTAATCTCACTCTTAAGGAGTACAATAGTATCCAAAATCTGTCATTCTAAGAAATGATGGGTCAAGCTGCAAACTCACTTTACTTGAGGTGATGTTTGATTAAGGCAATTAGCATCTTCTTTAGTATCCAAAATTTGTCATGCTAAGAAATGATGGGTCAAGCTGCAAACTCACTTTATTTGAGGTGATGTTTGATTAAGTACTTCACTTCAATGGCCCTTGTTTTTTTGGATGGAATTGGTGGAATTACTCAAGATTTAGTGACAGCTTAAAATGTAGCTAAGAGCTTCAGTAAGGCCCTGCAAAAAACATCTGTAATTACATTAGTAATAACGCAAATACCCCAATAGTAGGTGTTGGATAAATATTGTTAAAACCTAAACGTCACAATCAATTGGAGAGAAGCCAGCTCAGGAGTTTTTCTTGTTAAATCCAGCATGGCTCAAGAAACATCTGCCATAAAAAAAGCAATTCAGCAGTGGTCTCCAATGCATGGAGAAGGGTGAGCTTTTAAGTGCCCTGAATGTACATTTTATCAAAGAGGAATATATCTATATCTGTAAAAATATATATTATAGATATTGATAGATAGACATATCTAATTCATTTCAGACTCTTTCCTTGTCTTTGCTTCTCTGCCTACAATAAACAGACCAGCCCCCACACACGCGTTGCACTGAGTTTGGGGGATTTTTTTGTTTGTTTGCTTGCTCACTGTTGCAACATAAGTCACTGGAAATATCTCAACAAGGGTACAAACAGAAGACTAACAGCAGTTTTTCAAATGAGTCTTTAGCTGCTGATGCTGCGTTCTGTAGGGTAAATCTGTGCTGTTTGTTCATTTGAAAGGAAGTCAGCCACACGGAAGGTACAGTTCACTTTTTAATCTGTGACCCCAAAGTCCTTCCGGAGAGCCATCGTGCTGTGCTTGTGGAAAGCAGCAGACTGCATCATGTGCTTGGTGTCTCTTTCCACTGAAGATCTCTGTGACTTTTTCAGCTCTCACCTACACGCACCTACTACCTTCCTGCATCTCTGCCTGTCCATACTTAAGTGAGGTGTTACCTGCCAGTGTCCACAGGTGGAGGGGTGTCCGTCTGTTGGTGTTACCATGTTGCTCATGAGCATTTTGTTCCACAGCTGCAATCGTGCACGCAGAAGCCTTGACACTTTATCCAAGCATATCTGTTGGTTGCTCATCCCAAGTTGCTAGACATTAACCACAGCCACAGGGGCACCAGACTGCACATCTACTGCAGGTACGAGACAACATACCTGGGAAACTGCAGCTGCCTTTAGTTATGTGTTTCATGGCAAAGATGAGCTGAAGGCTCTAAGTTTTGAAAGCCTTCCTGGACGTGTTTTTCTCTCTCATTGCTAAGAAGGACTTGAATTCCAGTCTGTGCATTGTTTGTTAGAGTAGCACCTAAAATTTTGATGTTAGGTTTTGTTTTGGTTGGTTGGGGTTTTTTTATGTCTAAAAACAGCTAACCCCACATTGCATAAAAGTATATAAAATTATAGTAAAACTCTGGGAACGTAGAATCTCCCCCTGACTGGCCTTGCATTTGGTCACCCTAAATTCAAAGACACATGCTAGCTACAGATATAGAGGAGTTGTTACCTTTATTAGCCTAAGAAGTTTTTAAAAGCTGAGACAAAATGACATGTCTCTGATTTCTTAAAAATCAATTAATGACATCTGTTCCTTTTTTTCAAATATATGAATTCAATAAAGACACTAAGTCAGACTGCTCTTAACATTTTTGTAGTTTAGATTCAGAAATGGTATATAGCCATAACACTTGAGTGGCCAAGTAATGTATTTACTGACTACACCCACAGGTATTAATTTCATCAGCCTTTGTCTTCAGTACCTCATAATCAACTGTACTTAAAGGAGGCTTATAAGAAAGATGGGGACAAATGTTTTAGCAGGACCTGTTGCAATAGGACAACAGGCAATGGTTTTAAACTAAAAGAGGGAAGATTTAGACTAAACAGAAGAAAATTTTTACGATGAAGGTGGTGAAACACTAGAACAGGTTTCCCTGAGAGGTGGTAGATGCCCCATTCCTGGAAACATTCATGGTCAAGCAGGACTGGGCTCTGAGCAACCTGATCTAGTTGAAGATGTCCCTGCTCATAGCAAGGGAGGTTGGACTAGATGACCTTTAAAGGTTCCTTTGAACCCAAACCATTCTATGATTCCATGATTCCATGATCATACTTGCCAGGCAGTAACCATGGTTCCACATCAAAGAATTTGCAATGAAAAGGGGCAAAATTTAGGTGGAAAGTCACACTATCATCTTCATTTCCTTGCACTGCAATGATGTTTTACAATCCAAGCCCATTCCCTATTTAAGAGCTTTCTTTCAGATCCAAAGGTTCAGCATCAGAAGATGGAAGCCATCATCTTATTAACCACAAGTGTTATGAGTCACTTCATGCCTGGTCTGGTATTTGCATACCCAGTAGCTGGGCAGGTCAGCTGTTAATTAGCACAAAACACTGTCTAAAAAATCTAAAATATCTCCTTGAGGGTCGGAAAGCTCTACAGAGGGACCTGGCGAAGTTGGATCAATGGGCCCCAGGCAACGCTATGGGCTTGGGGAAGAGAGGCTGGAAAGCTGCCCAGCAGAAAAGGACCTGGGGGTGTTGGTGGACAGCCGGCTGAACATGAGCCAGCAGTGTGCCCAGGTGGCCAAGAAGGCCAACGGCATCCTGGCTTGTAGCAGGAATAGTGTGGCCAGCAGGAGTAGGGCAGTGATGGTGCCTCTGTACTGGGCACTGGTGAGGCCTCACCTCGAGGGCTGGGTTCAGTTCTGGGCCCCTCACTACAAGAAGGACACTGAAGCGCTGGAGCGTGTCCAGAGGAGAGCCACCAAGCTGGTGAGGGGTCTGGAGAACAAGTCATACGAGGAGAGGCTGAGGGAACTGGGCATGTTTAGTTTGGAGAAGAGGAGGCTGAGAGGGGACCCCACTGCCCTCTACAACTCCCTGAAAGGAGGGTGTAGAGAGGTGGGGGTTGGCCTCTTCTCCCAAGGGAATAACAACAGGACCAGAGGAAATGGTCTGAATTTATGGCAGGGGAGGTTTAGATTAGATATCAGGAAGAATGACTTTCCTGAGAGGATGGCCAGGCACTGGAACAGCCTGCCCAGGGAGGTGGTGGAGTCACCATCCCTGGAGGGATTTCAGAAACATGTAGACATGGCACTTGAGGGCATGCTCTGGTGCATTGTTGGGTTGTTTTTTTTTTTTCTTTTTTTTTTTTGTGTGTGTGTGTATGGTTGGACTGGATGATCTCAAAGGTCCCTTCCAGCCATGAAGGTTCTGTGAAATGCATTTTTCCCAGCCCTCAAGTAGTTTCTGTAAGTTGCAATTAGACTGTAAAAAAAACCAAACAAACAAACAAAAAAAAAAAACCCCAAACATTAAACTTCAGAAAACACTATGATCTTGAAACCCAAGTAAAAAGCACCTCAGCTCAGCAGCAGCTGCCTGAGGGATATGTACAGCAGCAGTGGGCTCCAACACACTCTTCAGCCCCCACAGATGGCATCTTCCCCGCACACCACGCAGTTCATGCGCACGCTGCTCATCCTCAGGTGTGTACCTCTTCTCCCCTACCCTTTCCTAGAGGCAACTGCTGCCAACATCCATCCGTGGGAAGGCTTGGCATCCCCCAAATCCACACATGCTGACTGGCAGTCCTGCGGTGTGACCTTCACACTGGCACCTGGCAAGTTCTGAGCTCCCTGTCTGCATCGAAGTCTTAGGGAGCACGGAACAGTGAAATGCAAATTTGTGTGCAAGGTTCATAAAATTATTTACATCACATGCTGTTTTGTCAGTAGAGTGGGTCTTCTGACAGAAGGCTCCGCCTGTAGTCTGACAATTTGGCTCAGAGCATCAACAAAGTTGCATTCTTCTTACAGATCCACTTCTTTAAAGTCTGGCAGTTATCTGCTTGGATAATGTGTTTTCTTCTGTAAACAGCACAGCTCTTGTCGGTCTCCGTTCTTTTTTCGGCTATCCTGGTGGAGAGAACAAAAGGAACGCAATGAGTTGTCAGCTTTAAATTCAGTGCTGGATAAAAATATTGATAATATCCTGAGTGAGGGGTTTGGGTGATGCCCAGTCGGTAACCCACTGAAGCACGGCTCCTCAACAGTCGTGCATAGATGGGATGGGCACACAGTGGAGACCACAGGCTGCTGAGGGACGGGTGCTCAGGAACACCAGGGTAAGAAGGATGAGAAAACCTCCCCATGCAGCCACAACACTGAACCGTAATGGCAAGAGGGAGAGGAAGGACCCTTCAGCTGCACAGATCTTAGCACCCACACTACGTGACGGGCATCACACTCAACAGAGGTGACCAACACTGTGAAGTGACGCTGTTTGTTGACAGTGATTTCAGTGGGGAGAAGCGTGTATTAATGCCCCTCAGCATTTAATAGCACATGAACTGTGGCTGTGGTTGGTCTTGCAGACAGAAGACAAACCTGCTCCCAAAAGGTGCCCAGCAGGAAGCAGTTAACCTGGAACCGGTTGTGAAATGGACCCTGAATAGGTGCCTGAGGCTGCAGGACGAAATCTCTGCTCTGGGAAACTCTTGGATTCAGAGCTGCATTTCCATGCAGAGTGCCATTGCTATTGCCAAAGACAAATCATCACCTGTTTGCTTTCACTCCAGGATCTTCTGCTGAACTCCATTCTTTCTTAATGTCTTGAACGCCAAAAACACTGTCTCCCCACAAATCATCACCTGTTTGCATTTACTCCGGGATCTTCAGCTGAACTCCATTCTTTCTTAATGTCTTGAACCTTCGAACCAATCCAGATATATTTGGTATCTTTCTCTTTATTGTCTATAAATTCCTGCGGAGGAAGTAGAAGCACGTTAGCCGCCAGCAGAGCTTTTCTGCTGTGCTCAGGTCTTTGGCTTGTCTCACATGGAGTTTTTCATGCAGTCCCTCACACGGGGACCAAGGGCAGGGATCCAGCCACGGCAAAGCAGCCCATTGCAATGGCCCATGCGTGTCACCAGCACAGAGTTGGGGTTCAGGATGGTGCTCAGGCTGACTACCTTCCTGTCAGCTGTCAAAATCAAAATATTTCACTGATGCTCCTCACCCTAGCGTGCCAGATTGCAAAGCCTGCTCTTTGAGGTAAAAGGCCTGTTCCTCAGGGGATGAGGAGTTTCTCAGAAGAGCCATTTGGTGATACCTTGCTATTCATTTTCACAAAAGAAAATGCGAGGGGGGGGTTGGCTCTTTGAATTTCCATTTTGTGGTTGAATCAGACCTCTCTTCCCAGAGCCAAGTAGTGGAAACAGGTGGGAAGTCCCCAGCATTTCCCTGTCCCAGTCAAAACTACTCTGGCTTCCACACTTGCATCCCTTCAGCTCTACTCTCAAAACAAGCTCCTGTCCCTGGCGAGTCAGATGCTCTGCTCCTGATGGCTCTCTTGCTTGCCTGCATGTACACCTGACATCTGGGCCATGTTCACTCAGTGAAATACTTGGCTAAGGCAGGTGCCCATAGCACAGTTTTAAGGCTGCTCCAACACTCACCATCTCTATTTCATCTTCAATTTCAAGAAGCTGGGATTTCCTGGCCAGACAGTTTCTCTGGCTGTCATCCCAGCTTACAGCGTCCTCAGAGAAGTAGTAACATCTCCCCCTGTGCAGTTGCCACCCGGGAGGACACAGCTCGCACATTGTTCCTGTAGGTGGAGAGACGGAAATGTTAGCTCACACCGTGACTTGTTCCAGTTGCCATGTAGTATTTTATGTTCATGTGCCTGCCTGGCCGGTCCAAAAGTGGCCAGTCCCCACTTCTAAGCATGTGTTTGCTGTATGTGGATAGAGGTTTGAAGGCCCTGGTTCCACTCCTCTCCTCTGCTTCCCGCTCCCTTGCCATGGTGCTATTCACTTCTGCACATCACAGGGCTCTCCACCTCCCCATGCACAGAATCACAGAATGATATGAGGTTGAAGGGACCTCCGGAGATCATCTAGTCCAACCCCCTGCCAAAGCAGGTCCACCCAGAGCAGGTTGCACAGGAACATGTCCAGGCGGGTTTGGAATGTCTCCAGAGAAGGAGACTCCACCACCTCCCTGGGCAGCCTCTTCCAGGGCTCTGCCACCCTCAAAGGAAAGAAGTTCCTCCTCATGTTTAGGTGGAACTTCTTATATTCAAGTTTGTGCCCATTTCCTCTTGTCCTGTCACCGGGCACCACTGAGAAAAGACCAGCCCCATCCTCCTGACACCCTCACTTTAAGTATTTATAAGCATTGATCAGATCCCCCCTCAGCCTTCTGTTCTCCAGACTAAGAAGACTCAAATCCCTCAGCCTTTCCTCATAGGGGAGATGCTCCAGGCCCCTCATCATCTTTGTAGTCCTCTGCTGTCCCCTCTCCAGCAATTGCCTGTCCTTCTGGAACTGAGGAGCCCAGTACTCCAGATGGAGCCTCCCCAGGGCAGAGCAGAGGGGCAGGATGACCTCCCTCCACCTGCTGGTCACACTCTTCTTGATGCACCCCAGGATGACATTGGCCTTCTTGGCCCCAAGGGCACATTGTTGGCTCATGGTCATCCTGTTGTCCACCAGGACTCCCAGGTCTTTTTCCTCAGAAGTGCTCTCCAGCAGGTCAGCCCCCAACCTGTCCTGGTGCAGGGGATTATTTCTCTCCTCTACACCTGCCCGGTGGAGAGTGCCAGGAGGACCTAGAGGGCTGTGAAAACACTTTTCATCTTCCATCATGCAGCCCTTATGAGGAGACACCATACCATGGGATGTGATGTGATGTGGGCTGTGTGGATTTGACACGTGATGTGACCAGAAAGAGCAGGTAGTTAGGTGAAGCCCAAACTATATCCATGGAGTTGGAGAAGGAACTGTATTAAATCAGGGGAACACTATTCCAAGGTCTACTTCCCATTTCACACAGAGCATCTGCGAGGAATGTCCCCTGCATTTTCTTTCTGTCTTGGCTTCCTCTAATGTTTCAAAGTAACATCATTACAATCAGTCCTTAGAAAAGCATTAGTATTTGCCAACAAATAATAGGTCCACAATAAAATGACTAGAAAGGTCTTCCCCTGCCTTATCCTTGCAAAAGTATAGGAGCGCTAAATTTCCTCCCACTCTTACCAAACAGTTATTGTTCTCCAGGGCAAGGGGAAGATCTATGAGATATGGTATTTCTGCCAGCAGCTCCTGGCAGAAAGAAATGTAAAGAAAGTACCAGAAGCTATCTGTAACAAAAGAGGAGCACAACTATTGACATTAAAACGTTAGTTTAGATCCTGTCATCGCTTCTATGCAGGAACACTGTGGCCCCCGAGTAGTACCAGTGAGTTCCCATAAACTGCAGGATGTCACAGAAAAGGGAACAGAGACAACAGAAGTATGCACACAAGGCGTCCTCTATTCTTTGGAAGAACTGACTGTCCTTACCCTGTACATCTTCACACAGTTCCTCCATGAGCCATTTCAGGAGCACCACTGAGACGGTCTTCTCTGAAGAAATGTTATTGCCAGTGTTATTTAGACCATACTGGGATAAACTTTCTGATTTTCCTTCTCTGCTCTTCAAAACTTGAGTATGCACACACACAGAGAAAAAAACCCCACCAAAAAACAAAACAAAACAAAAACAACAACAACAACAATAACAACAACAAAGAGATTATGGTTAACAACAAGGTCTTTGTGTCCAGTGTTACACTGTGAATGTGAGGATATGTGTGTGCATATTGTGTGTGTGTGTGTGTATTGTGGGGGTATACACACTCAGTTATGAGCATACTCATCGGGTATAACTGCCTAGCAAACGGTGTAGCTGCTGAATAATATGGACAGTACAGGAAAAGAAAATATGTTTGTCATTTTTGATAGTTGGATATATAAAGAATGCACAATATTTTGGTGAGATTTTAGGGAGGGCTTGGAGGTACACGTTTTTTCCGCAGTTTTTCAAGACTGTTTCCTCTTAAAAAATGAGTGTCTTCTCTGAAAGACTTCTTGTATAACTGGAGCATGCTGTGGATTATGATATTACTTGTACTAGGGAAATCTGATTAAACTAAATGATCTGAAGTCTGGTTTTTATTTTGTTTTTTCAAACCTGCAAGGTAATTAAGTCAAATGGTCTCAAAGGAGCATCATGGATGCAACTTTTAACTTCTAAGTCAGGAAGGCCAAGTGATTGTCATAAGGATTTCAAATCTGCTTCTACAGCCTTTCAGCATCACTGATGACAAGGTGGACTGCAGCAACTCCCCTTCATCTGTGCTATGTATGTTAAATGACAGGTGGCAAATGTTCCCTTTGGAACGGTACCTTTATTTTTCTGTATTTGTCTATAACTTGACACCTTTAATGTGACATTGAGGGAGTTTTTCTTTTGGCATCACTCTGCTTGTGAGGTTTAACCGTGTCTGTAACGAAGAGATGAAGAGGATGGTAGGAGCTACTCACATTGCTTGGCTAGTGCAGCTATGACACCCAGCAGGACGAGCACCAGGACTCCCAGGACCAGCGACACGTAGAACCAGGCTGAGCGCCCATCTCGGCAGCCTAGAGACAGGCAGGAGGGAGAGCATTAATTAACACTGCCTTTCTGTATGTCGGTTTCTTACATGGCAACAACACAGAAATCGTCTGCCTAAAATCAGTCTGCTGCTTGAAGTATGCGGGGACATTTCACTTATTAAAAATTTGCATCCATTTTGCATACATGAAAGTGAAATCGAAAGATCATTTTGTCAGATAGCGCAAGTGATTTTCAATCAATCCTTCCATTAAGAATTTTCTCTTTCTCCTTTGAGGTAATTTTTTTTTCGAGCGTTGCCTCCTCCCACCTATCACCTGAAAGACCCTGCAGAGCAATTCAGGGGAAGTTTCAGTCTGTGGTGTGTTCCTTCTCTCCGGTCACGCTCTCCTGTCTTAACGTGTCCATCACACGACTGAAAGCTGAATGCACGGAAAAGGCAAAAAATCCCATATTGACACCACAGCACAGGGAGGTCCATCTGCCCAAGCATCTCTCCAGCCACCTGGCAGTCATCAGCTGGTGAGAGTGAAACACTCAGGGACTCAGGAAGAGGCAGGACCCGAGGAAATTTGGGGTCAAGGTGCCATTTCCACAAACCACGGAGTCGCACTTTCATAATTGCTCTTTTTCTGCCCTCGCCTGCGTGAGATGAGCAACCACCCCGTTCTCCAGCTACATGAGACGAGTTTTGCAATGATCCCTTTCAGCTCAGGGAGTTCTATGGGCCTGTCTTTGTCTGGTGTGTGTTCTTCAGTGCAGAGAAGGTGCAGTCACCAGTGCACCCACTGCACCTTGGAGAGCTGGGTATTACGCTACTCCCAAAGCCAAATGTGTCCCTGTGACTGCTCCTGCAGAGACACTCACAGAAGGGTTCCTAAAAAAAATGTGGAGTTTTACTTTCCCTCGCTAAATCTTCAACGTAGGGCACAAAAGGCATTTTTAAAAACAATTTTAAAAATCTCTTTCAACATTATGTTTACAAGGAAAATGCATAAAACGAGAACACAACGAGAAAAAAAAAAAACGGATGAAATGATAAATCAGGTCTTTATTGAGAGATCGTGCATCAAGACTGTTGGTGGCGGGTTTTACTGTTGGGCAATAGGAAAGACTGAATCTATAATTAGTAACCAACAACCAAACAAGACGGCACCCTACCAGGAGCGGAAGTCTCTGATCTGCTGCTCCCTTCGGCTCTGGGCTTCACGCGCAGCTCAGCGTATGTGATCACGTTTCCTGTAATGAGTAGGGAAATGCTGACATTTGTGGTTGTGCAAGCCATTAAGCGGAGAAACAATAAAGAAATACATAGAAGAGCGAGTCAATATAGAAAGGGGCATGTGTTCCCAGAGCTGCTAGTTCAGCTTTTTTTTTATTTTTTTTTTTTTTCTTTAAGAAACAACAGGCAAGATGATGACTTATCATTTCCTGCTGCTGTCAGGAAGTAACTGAAAGCCTCCTCCATAATCTTTGCTTGAACTTCTTGGGTCCCGTGTGGCTGGACCAGGAGGCAGACAGACAGACAGAAGGATGGGTAAGACCCGGGCACTACCCATAGCAAACGTCCCATTTGCTGCTAAGCCACCTCAGGAGGCATCATTAGAGGCTTAAGGGGCGTCAGGAGCCATGAGCTCTTTATGGAGCAGGGAGACTCCAAAGGGGACACCGACACTCAGAGAAATGCTTCTGCAGCAAGGTGATTCTTGGGGACATTCCTGACTTGTGAATGTTTATGCCAGGGTATTATGTGTTGACTGTGATAGCAGAAGAACGGACCTGATGGTTGAAGATACCCCTTTCCAGATGCACATTGCCCCAAAAAAACTGAAAAGCCATTAAAACAGCAGAGTGTGAGTTAGATGCGTGTGGATTCTTTCTGAACATATTCTCAATTTTGTTTTAGCTGGGTATTCTGTAGAGCTGCTGGCTAGTATTATGGAAGAGAATCGGACCTTTGGTAGGGTAATCTCCTCTCCTGGTGAGGTTTTATCAGTCTGAATCAAGAATGAGCTTCTGTGCTACAGCCTCAGTTTGTGATCACTGGGGCTTTTAAAAAGAAGTAAGCAATTTGTGCCGTATAAAACTTCCCACCAATCAAGGAAAAATTGGCAAAAGAAGAGAGTCTCATCAGGCTATAATCTGGTAGCATTTGATATGAGAGTTGCTGAAGTGTGGAGAGCTTTTACAATAAGAAAAACACTGAGGACCTGACTGGCAAATAAGGTTTAGTCGTACAGGTAAGATGTTCTGTGCTTTAGAGGACCCGACCTAACATACTTTGCTGTTTGCTGTGTTACAATTTATTAGCTCAATGAAATACAGAAAAATCTATAAATTATATTTAACTGTATAGATAAGTAACAGTTCTCAAAAAGAAACAAGATACCCCTTTCCAGATGCACGTTGCCCAAACAAAAATGAAAAGCCATTAAAATAGCAGAGTGTGAGTTAGATGCGTGTGGATTCTTTCTGAACATATTCTCAATTTTGTTTTAGCTGGGTATTCTGTAAAGCTGCTGGCTAGTATTATGGAAGAGAATCGGACCTTTGGTAGGGTAATCTCCTCTCCTGGTGAGGTTTTATCAGTCTGAATCAAGAATGAGCTTCTGTGCTACAGAGACCTTTGGTAGGGTAATCTCCTCTCCGTAAGTGGTGAGGTTTTATCAATCTGAATCAAGAATGAGCTTCTGTGCTACAGCCTTAGTTTGTGATCACTGGGGCTTTTAAAAAGAAGTAAGCAATTTGTGCCGTATAAAACTTCTCACCAATCAAGGAAAAATTGGCAAAAGAAGAGAGTCTCATCAGGCTATAATCTGGTAGCATTTGATATGAGAGTTGCTGAAGTGTGGAGAGCTTTTACAATAAGAAAAACACTGAGGACCTGACTGGCAAATAAGGTTTAGTCGTACAGGTAAGATGTTCTGTGCTTTAGAGGACCCGACCTAACATACTTTGCTGTTTGCTGTGTTACAATTTATTAGCTCAATGAAATACAGAAAAATCTATAAATTATATTTAACTGTATAGATAAGTAACAGTTCTCAAAAAGAAATGCTCATAAATTTTTTTCTTCTTATAATGTAAATATTTTTCAAAGAAGAATAGTCAGGACTTTTAAACTTCTAAATGCACTAACCTTATAAATGGAGACACTTCTTCTAAAATACATACCTTAGAAAATCTGATACTATTACTAAATATTTTGTAGCTCAAATAAAGACCAATTCCTTTAAAGAATATGTCTCAGACTGTATGAAAACAAAATTATCGCACAGATTGAATATTTTAAAAAAGCATTATTTCTATTACAGTGTGTATTGGCACATGATCGTTCAAATGTGAAGTCCTCAGAAGTCAGCAAGTGGTTTTAAAATATCACGTAACCTTTATTTTGCCAGATGCTCACACACCCTTACCTAGTTTAGCCACAAGAAGCCCTCGTGCTAGGTGGAGATCTCTCTCACTTACTAAAACTGAAATTTCACTTCATTTCTATATGCAAATTTCAAGCGCAGAAATACATCTGTATTTACTGGAAGATTCTACTTGATGAATGTGCAGATAGAGAGTGCTTCTGACAGGTCACTCGCTCCAAAGAGCCAAGATTTACAGCCACTGGGCTCTTGCCGTCAACTGGTCACCGGCTTGAGTGTGAGCCCACGGCAGACCCTCGTCATCACAGATGGTGCAAGCCACCAGTGGGGCTGCGTTAGGAGACCCCTGGCCTGCAGAGCAGCAGAAGTTCCTGTGCTGCTCCACTTGCTGCTGCTGCGGCCACACCTGGACCGTTGTCTCCAGATGTGGGCGACTCCATCCAGGGGTGACTGGGAAGGTCTGGAGGGCCCAAAGGAGGGGAACAAGAAGCTAAGGGGAGAAATAATAGCAGCCTACAACTACCTGTAGGCTGGTTTGACAATGGAGTTGAACTCTTCTGGGTTAGATTTTCTGCTAGAGGAAAGGGCTTGTATGTAATCATTTATGAACCATAATCAGGCAACCCTCAAATTATTATTGAGTAAAGCAGGGAGGGAAAACTGTCTTTCATTAGAAAATGGATTTCCAGGCTATATTTATCCTTGCTTGTATTTTTGGAACGCTTTTCTACTTTTTAACATCTGTTTTGAAGTGCAGACACCGTAACAGCACCTGCAAGCCCACCAAAGCATGTGTACAGAGAGTTCCACCTACTTACTCCTCCCCAACACGCTCGGCTAGAGCATCCAAGAATCACCTCATCCTTGTAATCCAGAGCACCTGGACGACAGCTGGAGTCCAGCTGAGTATGTAACAACCTGGCATTGACTTTCCCGTTGGAACAGGATCACAGCAAATCCATTTCAATCACTTTTCTGCATGCAGCCTCCCAAACTTACAGCTGCAGACATTTTTTTTTGATTGCTACGTTGTGTTAAACACTATTTAGCACAGTTTGTCCAGTCTATCAAGTTTATCCCAATGATTTTCAGTGGGTGAGCTATTCTTGCCATGAGACTGCAAACTTACACATTATTTGCAGCTCTGCCACCTGTGTTTTTTATAACTTTTTCTTTATCCTAATAAAATACATTGAGTAGACTTTGAGATAGGAACGGTATTCGGGAGAACTCCAAGAAACTCTGCCTAATTTTACCAAATCAAATCCCTTTCTCATGGATATGGAAAAATCTAAAAAAAAAAAAAAAAAAAAAAAAAAAAAAAGAGGTTGGCACTGGATCTGTAAAGGGACTTTCCTTCTCAAATCCAAATTTTACATATTTAAAACACCTACTCAATTACTAGAGAACCTTGGCAGAAGTTCAGCTCCCTGCATGTTTATTTTCCATGTGCACCAGGTCTGGACAGCAGCTATACTTTAACAGAGCAAATTAGCTATGCAGCCCCCTCCCCTCATGTTTTAAATATCTACTCCAGTAAATTGCATCTAATAATCTGAAGCTTGCACAAAATGCAAGCCATGAGGAGGTGGACACGTCCCATTTCCCGTAGCCTAGTGGTTTGAAATCTTGCCTAAAATGCGGGAATCTGCCACTCAGAGCATTCATCTGCCTAATTTGCATTGGTGATTAAACCCAGCTCTCCCTCCTCCATGGTGAGTTTGAACCATGCAGTGCTTTCCCTCGTGCCCATCTTGAAAACTGTTTCTTTATCAGACATCCCCAGCCAAGAGTGAGATCAGCATAGAATCTGGCACAGGGAGGGAGGTGGGTCCCAGCCATCCTCCAGCCAACATTTCCATGTGTCAAGGAGTGGGGTAGTGCCAAAGGGAGAGCTTGTGGTGCTTGCCATGGACTGTCCCATCACCTTGGAGATGAGACCCTCACTTAGAATTCCTGCTCCAAACGGGAGGAAGCATTGAAACCTCTTCCTGCAGAGCGGGACACGCTGTAAGTGTGGCTGATAGGCAGAAGCTGTCCCGTCCAAAGCAGCCTTGGGCCCAGTCCATGTAGGAGAGAGCTCCTTCTATCTTGCAGGGAAGGACCTAACTCCCAGAAACGGCCGACTGAGCAGCACCTCGTGTCTTTGCTCTGTCCTATTCACTACTTTGGACGAGTTTTGGGTGAGTTCCCAACTCAGCATGCTAGGATCCCAAACTCTCCTCCATTAGCTGTAAAGAGAAGCAGGGCATCTCAGCAAGGGTCCAGTCTGCAGTGGAGAAACTCAACGCTAATCCTTGCTATACTTAGACTGAGCTTAAGTCTGTTTCGTGAACGTTGCTCACCACGACCGTCACATTTCAGGATTTTTCCCTGAATTTCCTACCAAGTTTTTTAAAATTACGGAACTAATTCTGTGGAAAAACCACATTTTTCTCCCATTCTCCCTCACTTCTTCACGGTGAGGGTGACAGAACCCTGGAACAGGCTGCCCAGGGAGGGTGTGGAGTCCCCTTCCTTGGAGATTTTCAAGCCCCACCTGGATGCTCCTGAGTAACATGCTCTGACAAGCTCTAGGCAATCCTGCTTCAGCAGGGGAGTTGGACTAGATGATCTCTATGGTCCCTTCCAACTCTAAAATTCAGTGAAATTCAGTGAAATTCCTATGGTAAAAGTCACTCTTTACTTTTTGAAATTTTTTTTGCAATACAAGACCACTCACCGACGGGAGGGATGGGTATGTGGGAATTTTGGTTAGAACGTTAAAACTTCAAAGAAGGAACAAGCAACTGAAATTGTTCATTTAAATTTGTAAAGCATGATAACACAGCTCAAGTTCTTGTCTATTTTAATAGCAATAAAACCCATGGAGACAGAGAAATAATTGTCCTCAGGGAGATATTTCTAGCATGTTCTATGCCGATATGAGGTCTAATATTGCTTAATACTATTTGGTGCTTTTTCTGATTGTGTCAAAGTAAGTGGAAAAGTAATTGCTAATAAACTCTGAAAATAGCAGAAAAGTTAACAACGCAATAAATAAAGACAGCCATAATGACAGCTCTGTAAGTTCAAGCCTAGTGAAACAAAATGTGTTTAAGTATAAGCAGATATAAAGGAGGGAGAAGGTGATACTGGGAGTTATAAACAATGAAGGGAAGATTTAAGAGATTTTTGTCTCTGTGTGACTGAGATAGCATAACTGAGACTTGCAGTAAGAGTATAAACAGGTATAAGGGAGGGAGAAGGTGATACTGGGAGTTATAAACAATGAAGGGAAGATTTAAGAGATTTTTGTCTCTGTGTGACTGAGAGAGCGTAACTGAGACTTGCAGTAATATTGGGCGCGTCTCCGGCGCCCATATTTTTTAATGATGGAAACACTGGAGAATAAACAGGAAAACCATCCATAAAAGTAATTAGAGTTCTTTGGAAAGTTAAGCGTGAAAGATTTAAAGGCAAAAGGACTGAGAAATTACTTGATTATTATGGACAGTAACTTCATGTGAGAAAATATTGAATGTTAAAATCTATTTGACAAAGGTTTAACAAGAACCATCTAGATGCCAATGAGAACTTTCATTGGAAATTAAAGCCTGGTCTACTTAAATTCAAGCTTTTCCTCTAGCGAACATGATCAAGGGACATTTTTGGATGTCTTCAAATCAAGATTTGTTGTCTGTCTCCCTTTGCAAATAAATTATATCACTTTAGAAACTGGGTAAAATTTGAGGCAAACCCTCAGTGCTTTGTGTTGTACAGGTTACAGTATTACAAACAACAGCCAGGGATGCATGAACATACAGCCTAAGGTAGTATTTTCTGTTAGACAGAAAATAAAGAGAACTCATTTTTAGTTTTTTAGATACAAGTCTTGTAAAAATATAATTTTTTTTTTCCCCATTATTTAACTAACAGTCAGAACACTATCATCACTATTAATCTACATTGTAAGTAAAACATCTTCTAAAAATGCTTATTACACAATGTTGTTTCCTTATATAATTGAATGCATTGATTACTAAACCTTGAAAGCATGAAAATATCATCTTAGTCTGACCGCAGACATTTCCTATTTGCTCATAGTGAGGAGTTGTCATTCATATTTGCTGTGATCCTGAATTTTCACAAAATGCTTTAATGAATGAATTACATTTTTTTCCAAGTAGTGGAAATTTTATTTCTTTAAAAAAAAAAATGGTTAAAATCACCTCCTTACCCTGAATATTTACTTAATCCTTTGTCTTTTGCTACAAATGCAGGAAGTGATCACAGGTTGATAATGTGATTCTGGGAAAATCACTACTGGAAAATTAAAAAGGAAGAGCAGGAAGGTTTTAGGAGTCATACAGTACTTCCTTCAGTGACAGTGACTGTACTTTCGAATGCCACTAGTTCTCTGATTTACTAGTTAATTTACTACTCCTTTTCCACAAAGACATCATAAAATGCATTGATTTGATTTTTGGAGTAGGTAATAATTTGGTGGAACATATCCTAACAAGATTTTGATCATGTACTTCATGCAAAAAAAAAAAAAAATGTTCATTATTAAAAAATAAGTAGTTTTTGTTGCTCATTCTGCTACTTAAAACAAGGGCCCAGAACTGAGGCACTACTCTGTAGTGACACTGATTTAGAAGTAGCTTTGCTGAGCTGCACCTCATGAGCATCTCTCTTCCACCACCTGCAACTTTTCACTCTTCCCATGGCTTCTGCATGCAGCATTTTATAGCATTCTCCTAGTATTATCCAGTGACAATTTTAAAAATGAAAGACAGAGAGAGAGAGAGAGCACATGAGAGAAAATAGTGTACACCCAAGAGCTGATTAGATGCTTTACCTGAAACTGATGTCCGAGAAGGAACCTGTGGTCTTTCCCTTGGTAGCATTGCCACATCCACGTACGTGATATCACCTGCCATTGATGAGCAAGTCCCTCTGAGTTATGGAAAGAGCTGGTTTAATACAGTGGTTTGCATCCTGTATTAGCTTTGCCTGCCTCCAGAAGTACACATACGCCGTGCTATGGCTCTGAGGAAGGCTGAGAAACAGATTAAAGGAAGGAAGTTACTTCTTTCAATACAGCTTCAAAGCCTATTTTCAGCCATCATTCTGTCTCTTCTTGTGTGATCTCATGCCCTTCAGAATACGGGAGAAAACGAAGATTTAAAAACAGTCTTTTTCTTAATACCAAAAAAAATATATTTTTGGCCAAAGCAGAGCAAAGTTTCTAAGGAATAGCCAAAAAATGGACTTACACAAGTACAGTATAAGTCCTGCTAAAAGCTTTGCTGGGTCTCATGAGAATCATGAGAATCGCTAAAGCAGTACGATCTGCGTTGTGAATGTATTATGCTCATTTGCATGATCACCTATTCACCTAAAAGGAAGATAAACAAGATATATATCAGTATGAGATGTTTTGGGGCTAATATAATTGCAAGCACAGCTAGAGCTATTAAATAGTAACTCAAATTTTAACCTGCCCCATCCAACAACTATAATAATGGTTGAAGAACTGCATTTAGATTACATTAATGATGCATTAAATTTAACTCAAAATAAAATTAAAAGTAATATGATTAATTCCTTTCAAAAGAATGTTTCAATACTTTACTGTAACAGTAGTTACAAGGGCCAGAGCTGCTGTTCCTAAGTTGCTTGACCCAAGCAACCCCACAGGCATAAACCTTGACTTGCCTTTAACTCCTTGTTCATGACCCATGTGTTTATTGCAGGATATTTTGAAGACAGTGGTTTTGCCTCCTATTTTTTTGGGGAAAAAAAAAAACTAAAAAAAATAAAACCCAACACAGATTTGAATTGAAACTTAAAGCTCTTCTAAAACCTACAAATACATTTCAGAACACACAGACACAAAGTCCTGTGTGTGCACAGTCCTCACATTTCCTGCTAAAAGCTGCACGGCTAGTTTTGTGCTTTATTCCCACTTAGAAAATCCCTTTAGAGTTTGACATAAATATGCTTTACAAACCTACATGCGTCAACTGAAAATACTGTGATACAGCCTACTCACCTTTTCTGTTACATTCAATGGGAGTCTAGATTAAAATGAAAAAATGTTTGTTTTTGTGATCTTACGTTTCTGATCTTTTGCCTTCCTACTTGCAGCATTGGTAACAGCGTTACGTGCAGAAACAAAAAGGTTTAGGGAAAAAAATGAACCTTTGATAGTCATGGAACAGATTACTCACAAGTGCCACTCAGGTACACTTTATATGGAACATATCTAAATCATTGTTGCTCTATCATCAGCCACAAAGTGATCAGTATGCAGATGTGGATACCGTGAACTGGATACCGATAAGGTTTGTTTCATGGAAACATACATACCAGCCCTGTGACTTGTCCTAAGGTGAAGCAAAACTTTTGTCCTCTGATTGAATCAGTTTCCATTGCTTCCTCCTGTACTTCTCACCACACTTTACAGCAGGATATTTAGGCTCTGAAATGGAAAAAAAAAAAAAAAGCCAACAACACCACCACCAAAAAAAAACCCCAAAAAACAAACCAAAACTAACCCCAACCCCAAATCCACTTTCTGTATTTGGGTTTTTCTTCAAACGTTAGTCCACAAAGGAGAGCTAGAAGGCCAAATGGGTTGCTTGAACTCTCAGTCTCTTTTTCCATCACTGCATATACTACCTAAGAAGTCTTTTCTCACATCGCTCCCTCCTAAATGATTCAAAACCATCAAGATGTAATCATGTATAGTCAGTATAAGCATGGGCAGTGGAAAAAACCCCAGTGTTTCTGTTTTAAAGGAACATGTCTCCTCTCCTCTCCCCTCCTCTCCTCTGAAAAACCTAATTTCAGCCACAAGAGCAATCTCAGTAAGTGTGCAGTGCAAACAAGGCAATTACATCCTTTGTGACCCAGCAGATTCTCGCTTGCCTGGAGAAAATGACAAATCCACACAGTTATTTTCCACAGCAAACTTACAAAATAGTCGTAAGTGGTTCTCATTTTGGATTTGAAGTCTATGGACTGTGCTCACAGTTAGGACTGATAATGAAAAGGAATGTGAACTTTAATTTCTAGAAGGAATAGGTGAGAAGGAGCCTTTGCAAGGCATTTTTCTTGAATTCCTTCTATTCTACTGGAAAACTATGACTTTTTCTTACTTTTAAAATGGATATTGCACTGTCACAGAATTTGCATTTAATAAGTATTTTCTTCAGTGCTAATAGTTTTAGCTCTGTAAGTCTTTTCTTTTTTTTTTTTTTTTTTGCTTTCATTTAAAATTATAGCTTTATTTACGAACACCCAGATGTGGGTCACCAAGTCTGACCCACTGATCTCTCAGCACCAATAGCACTTTCAGAAGAAAAAATCCAGGCTGTTGTAGGAAAACGCTGTCATAGAACCAAGAGATCTTTGATAGCAAAATGACCCACAGCTCATGAAGACAATGGAAAGCCCCCTCTTTCCTGCCCATGTGTCTGGGTATGGCAGTTCCACTCAGACCAAGGAGTCAGGTCTCCTGGTCTAAGCAGCATTGCCAGCTTGCACATGGCAGGATCATGGTGTCACCTGGGGAGGAAGGGACCTCTGGAGGCCTCTAGTCCATTCCCTGCTCAAAGCAGGGCTGATTCCACAGCTAAATCAGGTTGCTGAGGGCTTTGTCCAGGCAGGTTTTAGAAGTCTTCACGGACACAGATGCCATGGCCTCCCTGGCCACCTGCTGCAGTGCTGCACCACTCTCACAAAGGGAGACATTTTTTCCTTCTGCCTGGTGACAATCTCTGGGCTGCAACTTGCACCCATGGCTTCTTGTCCTTTTATGGTGCCCCTTTGAGAAGTGAGTGCCTCTGGCTTCTCCGTAACCCTCTTCTCATGTGTTATCTGACAGAACACTGCTGACAGGCTAACGTTACGTTTTATAAAGCAAGCCTATTTCACTATGTGCCACGTGCCTTAAAATAAATTGTTGGTATTTCTTCCAAATTCCCCTAAATGGAGTTATTCTGGTTTGTTTAGACACTGCCACAGCTGCACTTATATCACATGAGTGTCTCCAGAACCCGAACATGCCTGTTAGGGTTTGCTTGTGCTGCTGTCTACTTATTTTGCAGAATAAATGCTTCAGAAGCAGAGCCTGTTTCAGCCCAGTCGTTCCCCCACTGTCTTCTTTTCACATTCAGACATCATAGTCTTTCTGGTTTGCTATTCCTGGGGAAAAAAAGTCATCCAAATATCAAAATTCTTCTTCACCAGCTGTAATCTGGGTTGAGCATCCATATAGCTTTGGGCTGAGCATCCATGTGGCTTAACTTCTCCCAGAATCCACCATCAGCTTGTGTCTTTTGGATTCACCAGGTAGAGCCTTGCCTCAACCCTCTTCTTTCCTCCCAGCCACCTGATTAATACGTTTATCTTACAGTACCTACACGCTGGTGAGGCCACTAAAACAGCAGGGCTTGCTACGTATGTCAGCCACATGTCAGGGAGGGCAGGAGTGATTCTTTTAGCCTTGAGTTTTCAGGCCGTTTGCCAGAGCATGGAAATATCTGGTGGTTCAGACCTTCCCGCAGCATCTGCAAGGAAAGGTGGTGGGGTTGTTGTCTAGGATTCCTCCACACCTCATTTAGAGTTTGGCAGCCTGGTTCTTCAGTGGCTCTGTTGAGGTAGGCTCACGTTTTTTCTCCATCTTGAGGTGTGCTCCTGATTGCACAAAGGCTCTCCACTTCTAACCATCGTGCCCGAGTGGCATCGCTTAGCGATGCTCCGGTGTGAGCACAGTTACCAGTTCCAGTCACCCATGGAGTAAATGTGACAACAGCTGCAGATGACACCCCTTCTGTGGGTGTGACAGTGTGTGCTTCGTTGCGTGCAAAGGTAAAAGTAGGCTGAAAACAGTGACGTGGGCTGGAAAGCAGAATTCAGCACCTTCTGCCACAGAAAACAGGCTGCTCAGCCCAGGGCTCCAGCTGCCTCGTGGTGCACATTTTGAAGAACTCGAATTGCTGCTCGTGGACTTTTCCACTTCCCAAAGGTTGAGATGCAACACAGCTTCCGAGATAAACTGAGCGAATCCCATCAGCAGACCTCCAGTTTGGGTTTTGATTCCAAACCCCGTGTCACAGCAGAGCCTGTATGGACAATGAGGTGCAAAAGTGGCACCCAGAAGACATGGTCAGAGTTAGGACTACAACCAAATAAATTTCCTGCCATAAAGGAGAGTTTGTGCATTATTATCCCACACTGCAGCAAAAAAGATGTTATCTTAACAGAGGAAACCCATGAATTTAGTAAGAAAAAGGATAAAACAAACAAACAAACCAAAAAGAGCTCAGTGCACCAGTGGTGCCTGCAGATTGCAAGCTGAATATTTCTACGTCAGCAGCCTCATGGTCAGCAGATGGGACTTGGAGTAGGTGGGAAGCAAACAGGGGTAGAAGCCTGTGAGATGGGTTTCTTCCCTATGAAGGGCTTTTGGGGCACGTCAACTCTTTTTGAACTTCAGCTTAATTCCCAAAGATGTTGCTGTGCAGATTACTTATTCTGAGTGCCATGTATTCCCTGGGATGCATTTTTCAATGCTAAGCAGTGGTGGAGTGAACATGTGGGCAGGAGAATGTGCTTGGTCTCCTGAACAGTTGGTGATGACATGTCAGGAAGAAGCTAGTAAACACCCCTTCCAGCACACCGCCATACTGTCTTCTCGCCTTTCTTGCACTTTTGCACACTTCGTTTTCCTTCAAAGGATTGAAGCAGTGAGCCTGCTGGGACCAATTCCATAGGTAGCATGTTCTTGGCCATGTTATAAGGTACGTTCTGGTCTTCTGGAACCCTGTGTCTGTGACTTGGAGAATGACTGGTGGGGAAGAAGTGGTGTATCTCTCTGCAGACCATACATCTATGCAAAAGCATCTACTGCTTTGGGCAATGGAGGATGTCTCTGCAAGGTGAGACATAGCAGAGGTGCTGGTACAGTTGCAAATCACCCCAGCATGACCACAGCGCTGTGGTTGACTGAACACATCCTGGGTTGATGCAAATACATGGTAATACGGTGTGCTGGATTGCAACACAATGCAGCACTGCACCCACCATGTGGACTTGGAGGTTGAAATCTATTTGTTTAGGCCTTCCGTGATGTGCTCCTTTCTGCCATACAGGCATAGCCTGCCTTCCTTCAGGTCTAGTAGAGCTCCTGTGTCTTACCCTCATGTATGGTCAATGTTACCTTTTGGTTAGCAGTTTAATCTGTGAGTCTGAGAGCGCTTGGCAAAGAAAGGCATGTCACTATTCCCAGGACACGGTTGGAAGGAGCAAAAGTCAAAGGAATTGCCCAAGGTTGTCCAGCAGGTCAGAGGCTGGAAGACTGCTCAGCACTCCAGTCCTTCCACACAGGACCCTTATCAGGAGCCAGGCTGATGAGTGATGCAGCATATATTTGCAGTTGTTCTTTTTTTTTGCCTCGCATACTGTAAGATCTGCATCCAGATACATCAGTTTCCTTCTTTACATATATTCCCAAGCTCTTTCTGTAACTGCACTCACATGTAGAGTTGGACATTCCTTGGCCATTAATGTACTTATTTACTGTCACAGCACTTTTTGGCAATAATTTTTCTTTCTGCTTATGAAATTGGAAGAAAAGATGTTGTAAAAGTCCGATCATCCGTAAGTTGTGTGGATTGAACGGACAAAAGGTGGCTAGATCACAGACAGCTTACAATTCTCCCAGAAGATATAGGAATTAATACTCATTGAGCAGCTTTACAAGCATTTTAGGTTTGCCACATTTAAGCTAACATTCCTAAGATTTGCAGATAATAGGGACAAATGTATCTATGAGCAGCAACAGAGTCGTTGAATCCTGATGTACGTATTGTGTCAGTGGTGTATATGGTAACCTTCTCCAGACTGCAGCAATGAGTAAAGCTGTGCAGGAGCATCTCACCTAAACCTACTGACCTGAGCTAAGCCTTGGTTGGAGTAACTGTTAACACCTCCTGCAGTTAAATGACAGCAGCTCGGCAGCCCAGGAGGAGAGGTACCACGTTCTAACTTTGTGGCTGAGATAAGAAACCCCCTGAAAGATGCCTCTCTTTCCATCATCAGCTACAAAGACAGATTCAGCTTATAATATAAATTCAAAGACAGGACAGATGGCTTGTTTCCCCCTCTGCAAGTGTCTCTGGATACGCTGCCACCATTAAGGAACTGAAATGAGATCTGACCGAGATCTCACCATGGTAGGATAGTTATGCACCAGCAAACCAGGAAACGGGCTATTAGTGTTTTAAAATCCCTTAGAAATAGTATAAAAGGATGTATACATATATAACACATATATACACATGTGACACATAGTAGTATTAAGCCTAGAACAGCTACCAGAACACAGGAAAAGCCTGTGACTAGATGTCTGAACACAGAAAACACGCAGTAAAACGTGCTGAGCAGTGAGTAAGCTGTGTGCCCCCATGGCAAGGACA